TTGTCAAGGATACAACCTTAACACCCACATCTCCAGTCATAACAAGGACAAAGACATCCTGGCCCAACCTCCCCATGTCCTGGTGCCTATCAACAGTTTAGGAGATTGGTATGCTGATAGAGGCCTACAAGTAGTTAAGGAAATAAAAGAGTTTTTGCTTAGAGAAAAGAGGTTGATAGGGCTAATTATAGCGGGCATTGTGGACCCTGCTACCATGATAGCCACTGCTGCCACAGTCACAGTGGCACTGACTCAGGCTGTACAAAATGCTCACTAGGTTAACAATTTGACCAAAAATCTTACTTATGCTCTAGAAGCTCATGCAGACTGATGACAAGATGGATGTTTGCCTCAACATATGTGAGGCTGTGGTTATCACACTAGGCAATGAACTGGATCCCATAAAACAATGATGGGTTGTTACGCTGACTTCCACCATGTTTGTGTCACAGCCGCACAGTATAACGAATCAGAATTTTGCTGGGAAAAAATAAATGCTCCTCTTATGGGCACATGGGCACAAAGCAATGATACTGTAAACTTACGGCAATTAAGGCAACAAATACTGGCCATGCAAAAGGCTTTTGATAATGATGTTTCTTCAGCTAAAATTGCAAAACCTATCCTGGATGAACTCATGGGTTTCAATCCATTTAACTTACTAAAGTACTCCTTCTGGTATTTGGCAGGAATAAGTGTGTTATTGTTCATCTGTTTTCTTGTTCTTTCAGTTGGATACCACACAGTGCAAAGACAGCTCCTTGGATTGGGGGACAGGTTTCATTGGGAGTATTTAAGAAATTAAAAAGGGGGAGATGTGGAGAGTGGAGTATGAGAAGCCTATGAGAACTTGACATAAGCACAGCCCCAGCTGCAGAAGGGGTGAGGGCAAAATGCAGCACAACTGCTTTTCCTAAGATGCTTACGTCCAGAGAGTAGTGATCGCAGGTTCCTCCTGTTCCTAATAACTACAATGTCATACCCTCCCCCCAAAACTGTTGCTCTACTTCCTTGTTTGCCATTGTATACAGTAAACTCGCTGGAGGTGGATGAGCCTGTTTTGTGTCTTCATCAGAGCACCCAGCCCACCTGACCTCAGCTTTCTGCATGTTTGTCTTCTGTCTTTTGTCCTTTCTTAACCTCCCATCGCTCCCAGTTAGGTTTCTAGGATGAGCTCACGCAGGCTGCTAGAGAAAAGCGTAGCTGTTACCTCAATATCAACTGTATAAAAGCCAGTGAGATATGTGCATAACATTAAAACAAAACAACAGTTGAGAAAACTGAGTTGGAAAGGATAATGGACCTACCAAAAAGTATACAACTAATTAGAGGAGAGCTGAGCCTGAGTTCACATCTCCCAACCCACAGGCCAGAATTTGCTTCTGCCATGTTGTATCCACTGGTGGGTAGCATCTGGCTAAGAATCTAGGATTAGAGGGACTTTAAATGTCACCTTGGCTAAGCACTGACTTAAGCTGGAACCCCAGCCAGAAATACCCTGCTGAGTTGCCAACCAGTGTCTGGGTCAACAGCTCCCACAGTAACACATTCTGCCTGTAAGCCCTTCTGAATATCAATAAACTCTTCCTTATTTTGAAATCCTAGCTAGTAGTAGCTAGGTTATGAGTAGGAACTACTGAGAGGTCTTTGGGCCATTGGGCATGTGCCCTTAAAAGGTATAGTGGGACCCCATTTCCTTTTACTTTTTCTCTTTCACTTCTTGGTCATGAGAAAGGAGCAGTTTTTCCCCACCATGAGCTCCTGCCATGATGTCCTGCCTCCCCATAAGAGACTTAAAGTCAATGTGGTCAATATGTCTTCCCAGTCATGGAATGGAACCTCCAAAATTATGAGCCAAAATAAAATAAATCTTTGTCTTTACAAGTTGACTATCTCAGGCATTTTTTACAGTGACAGAAAGCTGAAAAACACATCATTGTTCTGTTCTCTATCTAGAGACCCCTTTAGCTCCTCTGCAGTTTGGCTTCTCTGGCTTCTACTGCAACTGACTTGACTGTGGCAGCCTCAGTCTCCTCTCCCTTATAAGCAGGATTTTCACCCTGAGGTATGCTTCTACTGTGACCATATGGTAGTCTACAGCCCTCCTTATGCTTTTATTTTCATAGTGGGAGTCAGAAAAGCATTGAACTAGGACATAGATTCTGAGACACACTAACCCAGAAGAAATGATTCTGCCAAGAATTTCAGAAGTTCTAATAAACATGCACCCATCTGGAGAAGGCAACTCAAACTGAAGGATGCTCAGTTGATGCTTGAACAAAGCACAGCAAGAGGCAGAGGACAGGCAGTGAGTCACAGGTCTCAATTGTTCACCCTCATCAGATGGAGTAGCTCAGAGAAGTAATGAGTTGTGTTCGGTTATTCCAACCCAGAAATCACTAGAGTTCAGGAGCCCATTATTCATGAAAGGGAGCTTAAGCAGCATACCTGAGCAAGAGTATGGTTTGTCTCTGGCATCATGATTCAGTTGACTGGTTTTATATGTTCTTCTATTCCTTTTGTTTTCAAGCAAACCTACAAACCTGGTTGATTAGTTAGAGCAGTTCCTATATGTGCACAAAGGTAACTTCAGCCTGGAGGGTGAAGTCCTTCTGGCATGGCTGCTGGGCTTGATTGCAGTCAGCCAAGGAAGGTGGCAATGCTGACTCCAGTCAATGAGCTGAAGAGGCTGAAGTGGTAGCTCAGGAAGCCCACGGCCTGGGTAGTCTTTTCCAGCAATTCTTAGTCCTTGCCCTATATTTGCAATAACTGAGTATGTCCTTGAGATCACACCTCAACCATAAATCTGGAAACCAGGTTCCTGATTTATTCCTTATACTTGGTTTCTAGCCTAGTATCCTTCTCTTAAATGATGATAAACTGCTATCTCTTAATAGCCTTCAATTTCCTCTTTCCCTAGAACCTGAGCACTGCTCCAAGGTCCTGCTTCCATCTTCCAGTCTTTCCTAATGCCAGTGTTATGCTTGACTATCCACATCATGTTCTCTGAACCCACACAGTGCATGCTAGGTTCCATCCTCTCAGATTTCAACTTTTAACCTAGGCCACAACTCCCAATGCCTACTTCTGCTTACCCTTGTACCCTCTTTCAGTGTGTGTTGCTTCTCTGCTCCCTGCCAACAGCTAGATGACATCAACCCAGTCCTGAGGACTGCTTAGCTACTTAGACCCTCCCATTCTGTCTGAGAATTGCCACTTTCCAAGATTCTTCCTGCTCACAGCAGCTTCAGAGAGATAGATGAGAGGTATGCAAACAGGAGATAAGAGCCAGATGAGAAAGGAGGAGTCTAGCACACAGCAATAGAGACTTCCCCAACACAAGCTATTCATTGTTGCTACCTCTTCCTCTCATTCCACCCCCACTTACTTCTTGCCTAACCAGCACCCTGATCACTACACCTGAGGGTGCATCAGCACCATGGACAGCTCAGACTAAGCCATTACTTAAAGGTCACACTTTAAATGCTCTTCCTTTTTCTTTTGGAATACATTGATGACAACTGAGTTCTATGTACTAGCTCTTCGGGTATTCGAATTTAGAAGAACAATCTGGTGCTTGGTTATCTTGAGGATGTATTTAAATTCACAAAGAACTATTTTTGTCATATAGTAATTCTTTTACAGAAATAATAATTCCCATTTGCTAATTGATTTGATAAACAAATATACAGGCACTCCTCTTCTATCATTACCTCCAAAATTAAATTTAATACCAGTACTCTGCTTAGGCAGAGAGAACAAATGGGCTAGTTACTCCTTCATGGAAAACAGGTAGAAATTTTCCAGTGACTGTTTCTTTGAGGAATCTATTTTAAGTGATTTGATGAGGAACAGGTTATAAGGTGAATCCCCAACCTTTCAGAGAGTAAGTGTTTCAACTGACTGGCTGCTCATCAAGTGCCAAACCACACAGTGTGCTCCAAAATAGACCGAGCTTGTCTCTAGATTCCATGTATTTTACAACTCCATTCTATGCCTGAATGTCACAGCCACCTTTATGAAAACAGTATCTTTAGTTAACTAAGTAGAAAAATATAGTGAAAGATTCCTTGCTATTCTCCAGGTAAAAAAGACATTTTTTTAAGAAAAACACCAGTGAAGACAAAAACCAACCACTGTTTTAGATGCCCTCCAATTTCCAAAATACCATTTAAAAAATAATTACACCCATGATTTATACACAATCCATTAGATAGCAAGATAAAATGTACTGCTAAATTTTAATTGCACTGAAAGGCAGACATCATGAAAAATACTTCCAACTTCTTGGGATTATAATCCAGTCTAGTAATACCTGTACCACAACATAAATCTTGTCCAAACTGTATTGTCTTTATTAAATTATAACAATATTATAGTTTCATGATTTGATAGACCTCAAAGAAAATTTTTAGTTAAGCAATTAGAAGGTCAAGTAATCTGTTGTCAGTATTTAAAGTTTTACTTATAAAAGTTAATAGGCTTGAATCACTGCATTCCCTACAAAGATGACAGGAATGCCACAAAATCCACTAGTCTACAAAGTAAAGTATTTTTAAAGACTGCAGTTTTCTCCTCTGTTCCTTCTCACTCCTCAAGAAGAGAATGATATCCTACATTATACAAATGTTGGTGGGAGATCTAACCATTTTGTAGTATATAGCATCCATTATCCATGCTGACTACAGGCTGAATCTAGAAGAACTTAATAGATAGAATGTTTTATACAATATATAATAGATGTGATAGACAACATCTTAGAGAATGTAATCAGTTTTCAGTAGATAATGATGGTGAATTACTAACATGAAGGAGCATGGGAAATTATACTTGATGTTCTTACGACTACAAGGTATGCTGTACTCCCCTTTCTTCCCTTTGGGTTTTGAATAGCAAGAGACCCCGATGCTGGCAGCTGCTTCTGAAGAAGGAGTATGATTCACTGAACAAGTGCAGTCCTTGGTTCTGTACCTCCCCATGACTATTGTTCATACACATACCTGTGGTCTTTAATGGCGTTTTCTCTCCTAGCAACAGTTTTAACCTTTTGGCATGGATTTTGCCCTGGTAATGTGAGTCGGCCACCACCGCAGAGGTAAAGGACATGTTACAGAGTGTACAGCACTTATTCTTATCCACCATATCAGCATCGCTTCCCTGTGTAGGGAGAAGGAAAAATAGAGAGTCAGGGAGAAACCCAAGTCCTATGATTTCTTTTTCTTGTTCCATTCTTTTAGAAATGAGATTTATCATTTGCAATGAGAGTTACTACACACTAGCCTATAGAAACATCTAGTTTTTTATCTGCAATCTATATTTTACTTAATGATAATCATTACCAAAAACTAGAGACTGATTCCAACATACACTTATTTGGTGGCTACTAATGTCAGACTCTGGGGTTGTAGGAAAACCTTACAGATCTGAGTTACCAAAGAAAAATGGAGCCCACAGTTAGGTGGTAGCATATCGTGTCTGGCACTGCGAGGAAAGCAGTCTGTAATAGCACCCATTATGCTCATTAAAGTAAGTAAAATATCAGAGTTCACATGGCCTGAATTATTTAGCAGAAATTATCATTTTGCATTCAGCTCTGCTTTACCCAATTTTAGCCTCACCAGGATACATGGCTGTGATGTTCAAGGGTTTTCTTTTTTTTAAGATTTCTTTAAGAACTTGAACATTTTTCATAATCAACTGGAGTATGTATCATAAAGCCATGATGACCATGCTGGTTGAATTTTCTGGGGAGAGTTTTTGTGATTTTCTTTTCCTCAGAAAAAGGTAATTCTTTAAATGTTACATAAAATGCTTAAATCTTGCTTGATTTTTATTCCTCTAATAAGAATTAATGAAAATGAATCATGATTCAGAAAAAAGTAAATCCTCTAACAGACCATGGGACCTGGCCATTGTGCACAGGAGTCATCAATTACCTATACTTACTGAGGGGAAGATTAATCCATTGCCTCCCCTCCTGCCTCGTTGAAAATTGAGGATAAAGCAGGGCTCTTAGATAAGGAGCCAATCTATTCCTTAATGGAACTGCAATAGCAAAGCACCGCATTGTTAAAAAGCAGCCTCAAAGGAGGACATGGCTCCACAATAGTCCCTTCTTGGTTCCCAGAAGGCCTAGAGAATGCAATTTAAAATTGGGTGGGGAGGAGGAGGAGGAAGATTGTAGAGACAGGATAGAGGAATAGGATTATAGAATTTTTGCATAATAATAAGATGCCCACTGCTGGAGACAGTGCAAATCATGTGGCAGTTAGAAAACTAACTCCTTCCTCCTTAAGGCATTAGTCTGTAATATTTCTGATAATTAGCTTTGGTCCTAGGGAGGACAGCACCAAAATGCTGGGGATGAGGGGTAGGCATGTGGTCAGTGAGAGGATGTGGCCCTCATGAAGAAAGGAGGACTTCCCAGAAGGTCCTCTCCTGGAGGGAGCCTGTAGACACTGAGGCTTTAAAGTTCAGATGCTTTAAATTTTGCCCTCCTTAAAAAAAGAAAAGAAAAAGCACAAACACTTAACACCTTTGTGAAGTATACTACAGAGACAAAATGGACCAGAGGGTTAAAGGGGAGGATTGACTCCCTGTTCTCCCCTATCCCACTCTCTAAGGAAGACTTAGGAGATGGCACAGAATTCTACCCAGGAAATAAAGCCCAGAAAAGCGAAAGCATGGAATTACTGAGAAGTTCCTGTCCATTAAATGAGAAGTGGGTAGCTCAGAAGGAATGAATGACCAAATCTGCTATCTTCTTGCTATATGTTAAAGGATATTTATTAGCCCTACATTTTTTGAGTACTACATTTTTTAAAAGAAAATTGTCATTGGAATTTTGATGGGAATGGCATTAAACATGTAGATTACTTTTGGGAGTATCGACATTTTTACTATGTTGATTCTACCAATCCATGAGCATGGGAGATCTCTCCACTTTCTATAGTCTTCCTCAATCTCTTTCTTCAGAAGTGTATAGTTTTCCTTGTAGAGGTCTTTCACATCTTTTGTTAGGTTTACACCTAGGTATTTGATTTTTTTTGAGGCTAGTGTAAATGGAATTGTTTTCATACATTCTTTTTCAGTTTGCTCATTGTTAGTGTATAGAAATGCTAATGATTTTTCTATGTTGATTTTATATCCTGCTACCTTGCTATAGCTATTGATGATGTCTAGAAGCTTCTGAATAGAGTTTTTTGGGTCTTTAAGGTATAGGAGTTAGTAGGTATAGGTAAGAACTTTCTCAATGAAACCCCAGCAGCACAGCAACTAAGAGATAGCATAGATAAATGGGACTTCATAAAACTAAAAAGCTTCTGTTCATCAAAAGAAATGGTCTCTAAACTGAAGAGAACACCCACAGAGTGGGAGAAAATATTTGCCAACTATACATCAGACAAAGGACTGATAACCAGAATATATAGGCAACTTAAAAAACTAAATTCTCCCAAAACTAATGAGCCAATAAAGAAATGGGCACGTGAACTAAACAGAACTTTCTCAAAAGAAGAAATTCAAATGGCCAAAAAACACATGAAAAAATGCTCACCATCTCTAGCAATAAAGGAAATGCAAATTAAAACCACGCTAAGATTCCACCTCACCCCTGTTAGAATAGCCAGCATCAGCAACACCACCAACAACAGGTGTTGGCGAGGATGTGGGGAAAAAGGAACCCTCTTACACTGTTGGTGGGAATGTAGACTAGTACAACCACTCTGGAAAAATATTTGGAGGCTACTTAAAAAGCTGGACATCGATCTACCATTTGATCCAGCAATACCACTCTTGGGATATACCCAAAAGACTGTTACTCCAGAGGCTCCTGCACATCCATGATTATTGCGGCACTATTCACAATAGCCAAGTTATGGAAACAGCCAAGATGCCCCACCACTGACGAATGGATTAAGAAAATGTGGTATCTATACACAATGGAATTTTATGCAGCCATGAAGAAGAACGAAATGTCATCATTCGCTAGTAAATGGATGGAATTGGAGAACATCATTCTGAGTGAGGTTAGCCTGGCCCAAAAGACCAAAAATCGTATGTTCTCCCTCATATGTGGACATTAGATCAAGGGCAAACACAACAAGGGGATTGGACTTTGAGCACATGATAAAAGCGAGAGCACACAAGGAAGGGGTGAGGATAGGTAAGACACCTAAAAAACTAGCTAGCATTTGTTGCCCTTAACGCAGAGAAACTAAAGCAGATACCTTAAAGCAACTGAGGCCAATAGGAAAAGGGGACCAGGAACTAGAGAAAAGGTTAGATCAAAAAGAATTAACCTAGAAGGTAACACCCACGCACAGGAAATCAATGTGAGTCAATGCCCTGTATAGCTATCCTTATCTCAACCAGCAAAAACCCTTGTTCCTTCCTATTATTGCTTATACTCTCTCTACAACAAAATTAGAAATAAGGGCAAAATAGTTTCTGCTGGGTATTGAGGTGGGGGAGAGGGAGGGGGCAGAGTGGGTGGTAAGGGAGGGGGTGGGGGCAGGGGGGAGAAATGAACCAAGCCTTGTATGCACATATGAATAATAAACAAAAATGAAAAAAATAAAAAATAAAAGAAAATTGTCAAGGTGACAGTTGCTTGAGCTATCCTATTTTTCACTTATGAATGCTATAGACCTAAGCATGTAGTTTTTAAAATTAAGCTTAATAAGAGCACAAGCCAGAATTTAACTCACAGCCCACCTTTTTAGAATCTGCACACTTTTTGCTGCTTCCAATGAAAAGTTCCAGCCTAGTGTGGCCTTCCCTGCCCCCGAGACTTTAATAGACAAAATTTTCTAAAGAAAGACTGGCAGCTCAAATTCAGAGGATAGTATCATTGTACAAAGCATACTCAGAACAAGTTTCCAGGGCAAAGATCTCCTCTTAAACTGAATAACCAATGAAGTTATGCCATTCATTCACACAACGTAAGGACCTGCTAAGCATGTTAGATGCTGTGGTAAATGAATGCTATTCCACTTGTTATCAAAGAGGTTTCACAGGTTCACAGGGAGAATTGGACATTCCAACAGAAAATAAGGGCTAATATTAATGATTGAGGAAGACATACAGTCTTGTTTTAGACTCTCCCAATTATAAGATAAAAAGTCAATCGATGTAAAAAAAATAAAAAAGAAAGTGTTTGAGGATTTTCACCCCACCTAGAAAGCCCTTTCTCATCACTTCTTGTCTAATCCAGCCTTGCTGCAATATGTATTCATGGCTTGGGTGAACTATCACTTCCTTGAGATGAAGCTCTTTTTGACCTCTCCTACTGCCCTACAGAGTACTCTGTTTATTTTTTAAAGTAGGATGCAAAATTATTAATTTGTCTGTTTTTGTATTTGTGCCCTTCCATAAAACTTCTTTAAAGTGAAGGAAATTGCCTCTTGGAAGACTCAGCACCTAGCACAATGCTAACCACACAGGGGACCGTCCAGGGCTTACTGAGTGGTTCAGGGATAGGTTTGTGGGGTCAATAAACTGCATCACACAAAAGTCAAAAGTGGAGACAAGACAGGTAACACAGGGATATCTAATTGTAAGCTAACATTTTTCATATTGACAATAAGATGGCCAAGAAAAAAACCAAAGACATCAACAGTAAGCTAACTTGAGAGCTCAAGTAAGGGAACATGTTCCCAATAGCAATTTTAATTACCATTCTATATTCTGCTCCCTGTATAATCTCATTTTCTTCTCATATAGAAAAATCTAAGTTTGACAGGAGAACCAATTGCTATCCAATATAATATCAGGATGTAGAGTTATGCCACTCTTGTAGACTAGAGAGCAAGAAAGTATAGACAGCTGACAGCAGAGGGAACAGGATGCCCTAAAAATTGGTCAGCTTTTGAAGCCAACAGGATATGCTTCACAGGGTATTTGACTGAGGGGACCAATGCAATGCCATGATGCATTGTAAATACCAGCAACTCTGACTAGTTAGGGAAGTTAGGAAAGGGAAATACAAAGGGAGGCACTGTGAGGCCCAGGTGGAGCCAGAGCTGTTTTTGCTCTTCAGGTGCTTTAAAAACCTACAATAACCTATGGGAAAGGGAGAACAAGGAGATTCCCACCCAATTATTAATGACTGGGGAGGGGCCTGGGCAGTTCCCGGCCAGGTGAGGTGGTTT